TTGTGGACATAGCCAAAGCAGGAAAAAACAAGTTGCGACCAGGAAAAAAGAAGAGCTTCTGCGCGTTGGTAGCAATTGACATACGCAACGCGTTTAATTCCGCAAGATGGAAAGATCTCATCGAGTCGATGAAAAAGAAAAAGTTGCCGTCCTACTTGTTGCGGATAATGGATAATTATCTTAGCGACAGGTGGGTTATATATGAGGGAGACACCTGCACTCTCAGGGAAGAGATGCAGCGTGGGGCTCCTCAAGGCTCGAGGGTGGGTCCTTTTGTATGGAATGTATCTTATGATGATTTTCTGCGGATGGATCTGCCCGAAGGTGCGGTGATCATCGGCTTTGCGGACGACGCGTTGTTTGTGTGCACTGCCGAGAGTGAGGAGGCTCTTGGGACATTGGTGAACGAATGTCTGCGACTAGCAAAAAGCTGGCTGGATACCAGAGGTCTTGAAATGGCCCTGGAAAAGACCGAGGCACTGCTGGTCACAGACAGACGTGGTTATGAGCTCCCACGAAACGTGATAGACGGATTCGAGGTCAAGTGGAGTAAACAAATTAAATACCTTGGTGTTGAGTTGGATGGAAGGTTAAACTTCCACCACCACATGGCTACGGCGTCGAATAAGGCGATCGAGTGTGCGGCTAATCTTTCACGGTTAATGCCAAATGTTGGCGGACCCCGTGAACAAAAAAGAAGACTGGTGGCGAGTGTCGCCCATGCTAAAATGCTCTACGCAGCACCAGCATGGGCCCCATCCCTGAGGAGCAAAAGATGTGTTACCATCTGTGAAAAGATACTGTCGGCGCAGAGATCGATAACAACGCGTATCATCTCTGCATATAAGACGGTATCTACGAGTGCTGTGCAGGTCCTTGCAAGTGTCCCGCCAGCAGATCTTTTGGCGAGGGAAAGGGAAGAAATGTTTCTCTTTTCTAAAGAAACAAGTTCCTTGGATGAGGAATTAAGACCAAGCAAGGGCCTGATCCGCAAAGAAGCGAGGCTAAAGTCTTACGACAGTTCCGAGGGAGGGTAAAGGGCTCCGAAAGAAGGGTTACGGGTTTTAGTGGGTCGGGCTGGTAGTAGGTCGCCAGTTTGTTAAATTTATTATAACATTTATTTATTTTTCTTTTTTTTATATACATTTTTTTTTTTATCATACCAACCCCACATAACCTTGGAGTGCGGAATCCAAGGTATCTGTAGGCAGATTTCCCAAAAGTCCCTAAGCAAAAAAAAAAAAAATAATAATAATAATAATAATAATAATAATAATAATAATAATAATAATAATAATAATAATAATAATAATAAACGACAGTATTATTAATTTAAAATTACTTAATTTAATTATTAAATTATTAGATTATTATAATTAGATTTTTTATTCTAATTTTGTACAAAATAAAAAAGAATTATTTCAATAAATGGTATAAATAATTTTATGCAAAGCTAGAATTGCAGATTTTAATATATAAAACTTTGGAGTATAGTAATCTTAATGACTTTGACGTCAGGCTACGATCGCTGGGCATGACAGTAGTGACGTCATCACACACACAGGTCTATAGTAGTAGTGGTACGAATTACTACTTTTTCGAGTAAAAAGTTCGCTCTTCAATAGTAAAAGTTGTTTCTTGCAGAAGTAATTAGTAGAATTTCTACGAGTAATATTTACAACATATTGAATGTAAAAAGTAATATAAAATTTAATAAAATTTACAATGACGATGTAAAAATTAAAATTCTTAAAGAAATTTTTAAAAGTGACTAATGTAATAATTTCTATTAGTAATTTTTACTACCAGAAATAGTAATATTTACTTCATGCGAAGTACATTTTACTATGAATAGTAATTTTTAATATAAAAGTAGAATTACGTATTACTATTCCATAGGAACTTTTACTAGAAACTCAGCACCATTTTTATCCGTGTAGCTTTTAAAAAATACAATAAAAAAAATCAATTTTTTTGACTGCCGCAATAGGAACCTCCTCTTAAGGAGTTTTACTCAATTTTTTAAAAAGAAATTAAATCCTTTCGAGATATTTTATTAAAATTGTATTGAAAATATGTAACGATCATAATCGTTTTCTTTCTTTTAAGGGTAATCGTTGCCACTTCCCGAATTATTAAATCCAATAATCTTTAACAATCTTATTATTAATATTACGCGCGCAAATTGAAATTGCGCACTGTACCAATCATAGCCACCAGGCGCCACGCGCGTCGCTGCAAGAGAGCAGACGACGAAAGCACATGTTTGTATAACCGGCGCTACGCATCTTCAGATTGGTGCGAACCTCGATTTTGTAAAGAGCCCTTGCGTTCTCTTTTTTGTAAATTTAGTTTCTTGATTGGAATAAAGATTGTGTATAATTTTCGTATATTAGTGTATTTTATTAACTAATTGTTTGTGATAGTTAATCATCCATTCAGCGCCTAGCAGTGTCCGGATATTAAGTTCGTCTTTTCTCTCCTCTTTTCTTGGCTTCTCTTACGAAGGAAAAGCGTCTTCCCAGCATTTCCATTTTTCAAGGATTTTTGACCGGTAAATTGTGTCCATCGGATTAAGTCAAACCCTAATTCTATTTAAAATATTAATTCTTAATTTTCGTGACCACATTTTTGGCGCCCAACGCGATTTTTTTTGTAAAAAACTTGCATTTTAAAAAAAAATTACCTAAAATTCATTTCTTTTTGTGTGAGTCTTCATACAAAGTTTCCCTTGCGTCGCCGCAGTAGAGTCACGCCAGGGCTACTCTCTCTTGACACTCACACAACTATATGCCTTTACCGCGCCTGAAAAGCAGTTCACTGCTATTTTCGAAAAAACATAGTTCTCTTTTCGAATTATTCTCTCGCGCTAATTGTCATATCAAAATAAAACCAGCCAAATTTCCTTGACTTATTACTGTTTTATAATGCTTATTTTTGCTTAATAAAATTATATCTATTATAATAAATTTTACCAAATCAAGCATGCTCAATTTTCTCTGATCTCTCACTGCTTTCGCTCGCACCAATCTCGCACTGCAAAATAGATTTAGCGGAAAGCAAAACAAAAAAAATAATTTTTTTTAAAACAATTTGTAGTAAAATTTCTTTTATATTTTTTAATCAAAATTGATATTGAAAATTTTACACCGCTGCGAATTAATTAATGCGAAGCAATAATAAGCAGAAAGCAATAGCTTTCTGCTTATTATTGCTTCGCATTACGTTTTAGTAGAAAAATCCGTAGCAACTGTTATTATTTTCGAATCTAAACATTTGTAATTTATTATTTCAATTATCGTGGGTGACATTTTAAAACTTTTTGTTTCAAAAGTAGCCTTAAGCGCTACTACACTATAAGAAAATTTCCAGTGCTTAAAAAAAATAAATAAACACTAATTGTGTTTATATCTTTACCAATTGTGCCTTGCTTCTCCCTACAAAATTCACGAAAATAAATCAAAATTCATAGTTCTTAAATTAAAATCAAATTTATAAAACTTGAATTAAAACTAAATTAATTTCGTTTAACTGAAAGTTTAATTAACAATAAATAATTGAATTTTGATAATTGATAAAAATTAATTAACAAAATTTTGTTGAAAATTAAATCAATAGAATTTAATTAAAAATTAAATGAAATCAAACTAACAAAGTTCAATTAAATGAATTGACAAAATTTGATCAAAAATTAAATCAATAAAAATTAATTGATAAAATTTAACTGAAATTTGAGTCAACAAAATTGAATTAATGAAATTAAATTAAAAATCAATTATTAAAAAAAAATTAATTAATGAAAATTAATTAATAAAAATTAATTGATAAAATATTATTAAAAATTAAATTGACAAAATTTAATTAAAAATTGATTAGTAAAAATTAATTAATAAGAAAAAACTAATCAATGAAATTTTGTTAAAAATTAAATTGATAAAGTTTAATTAAAAATTGATTAATAAAAATTAATTGATTAAATTTTGTTGAAAATTAAATTGATAAAATTTAATTAAAATAAAAATTAGTTGATAGAATTTTGTTAAAAAAAGGGGAAAATTGAATCGATAAAATTTAATTGAAAATTAATTAATAAAATTTTGTTAAAAATTATATTGATAAAATTTAATTAAAAATTAATTAATAAAAATTAATTAATTGAATTTTATTAAAAATTAAATTAAACAAATTAAATTAAAAATTAATTAATAAAAAATTTTTTTGATGAAATTTAATTAATGCAAAATTGATTACAATTAAACCATTGATTGGCAGAATTTACTTAATTAAATTTTCGCAATTTCCTTCATTTTGCTCTCTTTCTATTATTTAACCTCTAATTTAAATAAATAGAAACCTCGTTTTTTTATATAAATGTAAAACAAAATGCACTATGGGAAGAAGAAGCCCTAAAAAGAAAAGTCCAACAAAAAGCACAATACAAACACGCTCTCAAAGAAACGCATCTAACAAATCTAACAAAATGATGAGAACTCCTTCCCTAACAAGCAAAGATGATGCAAACAACCAAAATTTAAGGACCTCCTCACCTGCGGGAAACCTTAACACCAACAAAAATCTGAGGCCCCCCTCACCAGCGGGAAACCTTAGCCCAATAATTAGCGGTGACGAGGAAACTCATCATACTAACACCAATACAGATTCGGTTCGCGAAGTAAACAACTTAACAGACAATGCGACTGACACATTAAGGGACATCCACACAGATAACCCTTTTCAACCTTCAACAGGAACACTTCCTAAAATACAAATTAATCGCCGCGGTCGTAAACATAAACCTGTACTCACACCTCTCATAACCACACATCTAAAATCATTTTATTCACGGTTCGAAACAATTACATCTAACCAAACACTCGAATTTAATAGATTTAAAGATGAAATGCAACATGTATTCGAGCGTCATCTCGAAAACCACCAACACGGTTACGTTTACGGGATGCACTATGACTACAAGTCAAAGTGCAACTGCAGCTGCAGCATCAACCCAACCCACACTCTTGCTTCCAACACCGTCGCGACACGCCCCCTCTGCCAATCGCACACTACGTTTCTCTGAAGCCCCGGATTTTATAAATCAAACGCCTTTAGACCTCAATAATACAGTAGAGTCCCGCTTATCCGAGGTAATGTGGGGAAGGGGCACCTCGGATAAGCGAAAACTCGGATAACACGGATGAAATAAAGAATTTTAAAATTTTTAAAATTTTTTATGTATTTTGAATGGAAGAATGAAATATGCACACAAAAGTAGGTAAAAATAAAAAAGAAAGTAAAGAAAAAATATAATTAAAGTAAAAATATGAGCGTCAACTAATCTTTGGTGTTCAAAGCATTTTTCTACATAACATGTGAATCGTCACTAACAAGGTTTGATAAAATCTTTAATAGAACACTGCTTTAAGTTGCTCATTCGTTTTTTAGCCGCAATATCTCGCTATCGTTTTATCAATAAAATATCACTTGAATCACATTCCGGCTGTTCCTCAACATATTTAAGAGCCAATTCAAGGGCATTTAGCCCTTCTGCGTGGCTGATTTTTGGAGTTTCTTCTACTTCTATATCTTCTATTTCAACTGCGATTTCTTCTTCAGAATTCACGAGATGAGCGATTTCATCGTCGGTCAGTTCCTGTTCACAATCATCCTCTTGAATCCACTTTTCAGTATTGTTTCTGTCGACGTTTTCGCAACCAGGAATTTGCTCCATGATGCTATGAAGATCTACATCGTCTACAATTTCATCATTTTGATTTATAGAAGGCAAGATTTTTTACCATGACCTCTCGAGTGTGAGACTTCGGACAGCATCCCAAGCTTGAGCTGACCAATAAATGACACTTTTCATATTTATTTCAAGCAAACATTCTTTAAGGGTACTTCCGGCGGTACATTTCTCCAGAATTTTTTGAAGTAAATAACGTCGGTAATGACGTTTAAACGTCTCGAGTACGCCTTGATCCATTGGTTGTCCAATGGAAGTCACGTTTGGTGGAAAAAATTTAACAATTATGTTACCACTTCTGAGAGTTGACTCGTTTGGATGCGAGGGAGCGTTGTCGAGTAAAAGAATCGCTTTTCTAGAAAGTCCTTTTTCTTCCAAAAATCTCTCAACTAAAGGAACAAATTGATTAAAAAACCATTTTTGGAAGAGATCACAGCTCATCCAAGCACTCTTCTGATGTGCATAGTACACTGGCAAGGCTTCAGGTTTAATGTGTTTAATCGCTCTGGGTTTAGCCGATTTCCCGATACACATTAGTGGAAGTTTGTGAGTTCCGGACGCGTTACTGCATGCTAAAATGGTAACTCTTTTATTATTCTTTTTATACCCTGGAGCCGCCGCTTTTTCTCGTGAAGCCAATGTCTTAGAAGGCATCATCCTAAAATTTAGGCCAGTCTCATCGCAGTTATAAATTTGATCTCGCGAGTATCCTTCTTTCTCTACAATCTTCTCAAATTCTTCCTTAAATTTTTTCAATTCACCTTCATTAGCTGACATTTTTTCACCACAGATATTTAACTGACGAATACCGTGCCTTTTCTTCCATCTATCCAGCCATCCAACACTTGCTGTAAAAGTCTCACTTTCATCTGGAAACTGTTTCGCAATCATCAATGCTTTTCCCTGTAAAATGGTCCCTGAAAAGGAAAAATGAAAAGAAATTTTTGAAAAAACTATTTTGAATAAAAGTCTTCAAATTTTTTGATATTCAACAAATGTTGACTTGAAGATTATGAAGCGTACTCACCTGATACTGGCAATCCTTTTTCTCTCTGTTGAGTAAACCATAGAAATAAACCTTTGTCAATTTTATCATACTCTGCGGGTTTCATCGTTTTACGACTTGTCATCGCGTTACCGGATATTATTCTGAATTGTTCTAATTCTGATCGATTTCGACGCCAATCGCCCACAGTGGTTTCTCCAACACCATAATCGTCCGCAACCTTCCGAATAATTTCACCTTTATCCAATCTTCTTATCGCTTCCAACTTCTTCTCCACACTCACCATCACCTTCTTCCTTTTCTGCGACATGTTAATGTTTTCACACTGATTTTTTAAGACAACACTTAATTTTCAACGCGCAACCGTAGAGCACACAAATCGTGTTATAACAAGTTTATGTGTTCATGAGTCGCGGCACACGGCACCTTCCGTATTATCCGAGCTGCACCTCGGATAATGCGGATCGGTCAGAGCGCAACAGGTGCCTCGGATAACCCGGAAGCTCGGATAAGCGAAGGTCGGATAAGCGGGATTCTACTGTACAAATAATCACGAATTAATTGATCTTTCCACGAACACGGTTTCAAACGCTCCTCATGCGCAACGAAACCACGTCCCAAATTTATACAAGATTATCAAATCTTGGGACTTACAATTTCCAGGAAAATAGTATGCAAACGAATTTCTTGACGAATTCGAAAGAAAAATAAATGCATCAGCGATAGATCCTAACGACGCGCTCCCGATTTTCTCACAAACTCTAACCGACACAGCTTTCACATGGTTCAACATGTTTCGTCATAAATGGACGACATGGACCGAATTTTCTAAATCGTTCCGAAAAACTTTCAGCGATACAAATGACGATACACAAATCCTAAACAAAATCCATCGTGCGGTACAATAAGAAAATGAAGCAGGAATACACTTTGTTGTTAGAACCGGTGCGCTTTATAATAAATTACGAAACAAAGTTCCAGAAAAAATCCAGCTTGATAAAATTTATCTAAGCCTACATTCGGAACTAATCACCCATTTCGATCGCGATAACTTTTCGACCTATGAAGAACTTTTAGACCAGATACGCAAATATCAAGAAAAGATTGAATTTATGCAACAAGCGAACAAATTACGCGAACAAGATGCTAAACGCTCTCGAAATCCGCGCAATAAAAATCAATTGAACGCAATTGATTCGCAACCTACTCAGTCTAAAACTCCTCCCGTCACATCTACCGAGACCGAAACTAACGTAGAAACAAAAGCAAAACCAAAAACGAAAAATAATAAACAAAAAGCAAAATCAGATTACGAACAAAGTTCAAACAAAATCGATATTTATCAGAAACAAATCGATTCTTTAAAGCAAAAGTTAAATAGTATCGATACCAAAAATACCAATAAATCGGAAAAACCGAAAAGCGCACCAAAACCCTCCTCTACCACAACTTCCAGACATAGGTCGCGCCGCCGCTCTACTTCTAATTCTTCCCACTCGTCTAGCTCAGCTTCCTCGCGGAAGGGGAGAGAAAAACGTAGATCGTCCGCACACAAAAGCCGTAAAGACGACAAATCTCGTCGAAACAATGACCACAATACAAGTCAACGCGGAAGAAACAACCGAGGCCGTGGAAATTTTAACAATCGGTATAGTAACGGTTACAACCAAAATTATTATCATCAGTTCCCATTTTATTATCCACAAAACCAACAGCAGAATGCTCAAAGCCAGCGACCTCCCTTACCACCGCTTGTGTCTCCACAGCATCCTATACAACAATGGTACGAAAATTATAATCGGGACTTTCCACCAAATTTTGGTCAAAACGCGCAAAATAATCCACATCCAAAAAACGACAAGGATGCCAGGAGACATTCCCTGGCGACACCCCTCTAGATGACAACGCTAGTTTACTGAAAAATATAAAAATAAATTATTCAAACGAAATTAGCAATCTTTCAAGTTCAGAAAGCATTCCTATCGCCGAAGAATCAACGTACAATCCTCAAATAGCATCAACGCTAAACAAAGCGCATGCAAGTAGGATTGATACTAGTGATTCCGAAAGCGATTACGATGATTGCTTCTACTCTGAATCCGAGACGGATTACTCTGACTCTGAAGAAAATTTCACCCCCACAAAAGGCGCGTGCATATCCTCACTCAGGTCCCTGCCACTAGTAAACCGGTCAAGCAATTTATTCACATTGACCGACGAAACCAAGCACAGAGTAAACAAAGGGCACGAATCGCCCTTACCGCCTCAACAGCATTGTACTATTTCAACAAACATTAAAATCGGTAGTAAAATGATAACAGCGCTTCTTGACACGGGTAGTGATCGTACCTTTATGTCAGGCGATCTTTTTGACAAGATCAAAAATCTAGCTAACGGCCATCTAATTAAGGATGCAATTACGCGCGCAGGCGTACAACTCGCGCAACGCGATCACGTAGCAGCCCCGCGTCACTCCGTAAAATTCGACATTGAGATAGATAATTGCTACGGTGAATTATGGTTTGCTGTTCTTGACGGTCTAACCACACCAGTCATTTTAGGCATGGACTTCATAACTAGTTGGCAAGTCACTATTGACGCAAGCCAAGGTTATTGGTCCATGAAAGGGTCCACGACTCGTCACTCTTTAAGCTCCAATTCCAATGCGCGCAGCTTCCTAAATTCGGCCCAATTAATCGAATTATCTCCGGAACAAAGGAATAAATTAAATGCGTTTCTAGATGATAAATTATCGAAATTTACTTCTGGAACCGGTGTTACAAATCTTACGACACACGTCATCGAGCTCACCGATCCTACGCCATTTAAAATAAAACCGTATCGCCGCAGCTTAGAAGCGAATAAAATCATCAACGATCAAGTCGATATTTATTTAGACAAAAAGTTTATTGTTAGGAGCAACGGACGTTTTGCTAGCCCAGTGGTGCTCACTTATCGTAAAGATGGTAGGCCTAGAGTATGCATGGATTTCCGAAAGTTAAACAAGAACACAAAGAAATCAGCATACCCTTTGCCACGAATGGACACTATACTTGATGCGCTATCTGAGGATAACATTATTAGTACCATTGATCTGACCGACGTGTTCCACCACTAAAGCGCATTCCACACTAGATGCACGACACGACGTGCGTGCCCCCTCTTCAATACTAACTTCTCCTACGTGAGGAGGGGAAAGCATTTGGTAGATGGAGCAGAGGGGGCACGCGCGTTGTGTCGTGCATCTAGTGTGGAACGCGCTATACCAATTGACCCGAAGTCGCGCGAATACACCGCTTTCGTTGTCCCTGGTCGTGGACAATTTGAATGGGTCAGAATGCTCTTCGGACTAACAAATGCGCCGGCAACTTTCCAAGCTCTAACCGACAGACTAAAAGAAAAGTTTGTAGAACATATTCGCGCTAAAAATCTGCCAGAACATTACTGCGAACAAGTTCACGCGTATCTCGACGATTGGATAATAATATCCAAAACTTTTGAAGAACATATTCTGCTTCTCGATGTAGTCCTTACCATTCTACAGGAAGCGGGATTGTCTATCAATCGCGACAAATCTTATTTCGCGAAATCGTCGGTAGAATATTTAGGTTTCATCCTCAACAAAGACGGTTTAAAACCAAATGCAAAGCGCGTCGAACCAATCCTCGAACGAGCAACTCCTCGTAATCGAAAAAAATTACGTCGGTTCAACGGTTCAGTGAACTGGTACCATCGACACCTGCCCAATATTGCAAAAGTGCAAGGACCGCTAAATAAATTAGCGAGTCCAAAGGTGCCTTGGAACTGGACCGAAGAACACGAGGCCGCGTTTAACGAAGTTAAAGAATCTTCAAAAAGCGCTTTGACTTTAGTCGCGCCTAGGCCCGGTTTACCATTCTACTTGTATACCGATGCAAGTGACACTGGTATTGGTGCTATCTTGACACAGCAAGAATGCGCTGAATTTACTGTAATAACGGATCATTCCAGCCTAATTTGGTTGCAAGGTCTCAAAGACCCAAAAGGTAGACTTGCGCGATGGGCTCTTGAGCTATCCGCAAACAGTGTCAAGATTGAACATCGAAAAGGAACAACTAACAAAGCACCGGATACGCTTTCACGACTTTACGAAGACGATACTAACGATACGCACGCTACCGAACTAAATTCTGTTAAAAGTCAAAGTTGGTACGATCAGATGTTAGAAAAAGTTCGTAAAACCCCTCGCGCTACGAAAGGTATAACGTTGATTCGAATAATCAGCTATACTATTATAAACCAAATATGGTTAAAGAAACCATTGGCGATAATAACGCCTGGAAAAAGATCCTTAGAGAAAATGAAATTTTACCGATCATTACCGAGCATCATTGCACTACTCAATCCGCGCACCAAGGTATCAATAAAACTTATCTTTCGATAATTAATCATTTTTATTGGCCCGGTATGCGCGAAGACATCAAGCGTTACGTTAATGAATGCGAGACTTGCCTCAAATGTAAACCAAAAAATACACCCCCACAAGGCTTAATCTATCCGCGCAAAATTACGGAACCTTGGAAAACAGTGTCACTCGATATCGTAGGTCCCAAGATTGTAAAATCCTTAAACACTCTTGTAAACCGCTGGGGAGCGCCTAGAATTGTCATCACCGACAACGGTACAGAGTTCGTAAATCGCAATATCACATCGTTTTTACAAAAAATCGGTTCAGTACAACGGACAACACCCGTATACCATCCTCAGGCCAATCCTGTCGAGCGCGTGAATCGAAATTTGAAAACCATGTTAACGAGTCTTCTTGGCGAGAACCAACGCGAATGGGATATCCTTCTTGAAGATATCCAGTTTGCTTACAACACCACAGTTCACACTTCTCTCGTAGTCACACCAGCCTTCCTGAATTTTGCTCGTGAACCAAGACGAACAGGTGAACCCCCACGCGACACAAATACTGACACTACTATAGACGAAACAATAGACACTTGGTGAAATCGTCTAAAACATATTGATGCGCTTCGCGCAAAAGTTGAACAATTCATGATTAAAGCTAGTAAGAAGCAAGGCAAGGTATATAATAAAAATCGAAAGGATGACATTAATTTCCAACCTGGAAATCTTGTATTCTATCCTAACAATACTTTGTCAAATGCCGCGCGAGGTTACAGTTCCAAACTGGCACCACGTTTTAAAGGCCCTGCGACAATAAAAGAAAAATTGTCACCCGTGTTAGTTGTTATCTGTGATGCGCATGGTAAAAAGCTAGGAAAATATCATGTAAACGATTTAAAAGTAGCTAAGAAAAATCTT